AAGTGTAAATGGTTGTTATTAATAATTCAAATTAGGCTGGGTTAGTAGCATATATTTATCTGGTATTTTGTGAGCTGCCTTGGGAGCTTTTGGGATGAGGGCAAGATAGAAATATTTTAAATAAATAGTAATATGAAGCTAATACGTTTTTTAACATTATCATTTCTCATAAGATAATCTCCTCAACTAATTCTCTTTCTGATTTGCTTTGGAATTCAAAAGGTGTCTCAAACTGTGGGTTCCATATCGGTCTCTCTTCAGGAGAGATCAGGGTTGGCTATTTGGTGGCCATAGTTCACATGCAGCTCCTGTCCTCGATTTCTTATTCAGCAAACATCTTGCATGAATATGAACCCATGTTTAACAGGATGCTTGCTAGGTCAAAAGTCATCTGGTATTTTCGAGCACCTAAGGCATTACTTCCACCTTAGCAAGTGCTTTGCAAGAAATAAGAGGATGCCAAGAATGCTGTGGGATGTCTGCTCATTGGGATCTGGAGGTGGGATGGGATCTTGGGGGGGGGGGAAGTATTGTTGGCTGGAGAAGGGTGAGCTTCTAACCTGTTGGACTGCTGTCCCTTAAAAGGCTGAATGAAAGCATGCACACAGAGGCTTCAGTATTATTACAGGAACATCCTCTAATTTAATGCTGCAGAAATTATTCAACCTTGGGGACTGGAGCAAGAAGAACATTGGTGAAAGATTGAGGGATCTGGTTGCTGCCTGGGGTGGGTCCAGCCTTTAGGGTTAGAGAAGTTGATCAGAAGAAGAAGAAAAAGAAGAGATTAGATTTATACCATGCCCTTCACTACCCAAAGGTGTCTCAGAGCGGCTTACAAACTCCTTTCCGTTCCCCTCCCCACAACAGACACCGTGTGAGGTAGGTGGGGCTGAGAGAACTCTGACAGAAACTGCTCTTTTTCAAGAACAGCTCTGACAGAACTATGGCTTGCCCAAGGTCATCCAGCAGCTGTAAGTGGAGGAGTGGGGAATCAGATCCGGTTCTCCCAGATTAGAGTCTGTGCACTTAACCCACTACACCAAACTGGCTCAAACAGCCCTGATGTAAACAATGGCAAAGTTACTTTTGGTATGCAGAGGTAAACTGAATATATTTAATCATACAGTGATTTGTGACTAATCTGACAAAGGAAGGTAGCTAAAGCTTCTAGGAAAGATGAATAATAAAATACTCTTGACATTAATAACCTTGAGTCAATAAACTCTGAAATATTTTCAGCTATCATTAAGTGTGAAAACAAGGTTGCTAGATCTTTTGTTACACAAATGTTACACGTATTCCAAAAGTCTGGCATGGATAATTATCCTGTCACTTAACAAGGAGCCAAAGACAGTGTAAACTTAACAATCTTAGGTGTATGCCTAAAGTATAATATGTGAAACTTAATTAACCATTATCTAACTATACCTTTAGTGTTATTGCTAGGATTCCTGGTATAGTTCATCAAAGAAGTAAGAAGCACTGCAGAAGTGAGAACTTTGTTTGCCAGAGTGATATGCAGGATCCTTTTACACATTTTTTTTAAAATACAGAGTGTAGTGAAACTGTATAAACCATTATGTGGAAAGTCCTCAGTCTGCCTGTTTTGATATAATTCTGCATTGGAATGTTAGACAGATGTCTTCCTGCTTTACCACCTGAAGTCAGTATTCTAAGAACACTTCTAAAAATGCTGTTGAATAGCTGCAGATTTTTAGTGTTTCTGTAGTAGCTGATGTAAAGATCTTTACTAGCAGTCATGTAAGGTGAAAAATACATGTACTTGTTTTATATATATGTATGTATGTATGTTACATGACATGATCTGATATAATGTTGGATAAAGAGCATTTATCCTTCTTATTTCTGGTATTTTAATCCCAAAGTTAAACAGGGGTAAATACACACATCCCTTAGGCATTTATTTATTTATTTATTTACATTTATACCCCGCCCTCCCCACACGCGGGCTCAGGGCAGCATATTTAGAAAATATGCGTTGTTTTTACTACCATACCGAGAAGAATCTGGCATCCATTATGCCTGCTGTCCATTATAAATTAATCAAGTGACATAAGGAGTCTTTCTGCAGCTACTAAAGGAAGCAGTTTTCCATTCATTACTTTAAAATCTCTGGAGAAGAACAATCTGGGCAATTATAATAGAATCTCTAGCCTGCTCTTTCTGGGCAAGATGATTGAGAGAGTAGTGGCAGCAGGGCTATTTTTGGGCAGGAACGCACAGGAACGGAGTTCCGGCTGGCTCCCGATCTGGCCACGCCCAGCAGGAACTCATTAGCATAATAGGCCACACCCAACAGCAGAAACTCATTAGGATTGGTTACATTAGGGATGTGTGGCCTAACATGCAAAGGAGTTCCTTCTACAAAAAAAGCCCTGGGTTTTGACAACAAACAAGGTAAACAGAATAAGAAGCAAAAGGTGGGTGTGGCTGAATGACCACACTTCTGGTAACATGGGGGTGCGGCCTAATGTGCTAATGAGCTGTGCTGTCAGGTGTGTGGCCTAGTATGCTAATGAGTTTCTGCTGTTGGGTGTGGCGTATTATGCTAATGAGTTCCTGCTGGGCTTTTTCTACAAAAAGAGCCCTGGCGTGGCAGAGCAACTCCAGGTCTTCTTGGATGATGTATATGCCCTTGACCCTTCTCAGTCTGGATTCAGGCCTAGTTATGGCACAGAGACAGTATTGGTGGATGATCTTTGTCTGAATAAAGAAAGGGCTATGCTTCATTGTTGTTGAATTTATCAGTAGCCTTTGATACAGTGGACCATGCCATTCTGTTGAGACTTTTGGAGATAGACGTAGGTGTCAAGGGATGTATTTTGGGATGGTCCAGTCAGGGCCAGCTGGCCCGCTAGGCGAACTAGGCATTCGCCTAGAGCGCGAGCTGGCCCGTAGGGCACGGGAGGAGAGGCAGGGGCGGCCGCCGACGCCTGGACAGCAGCTGGGAGGAGCTCTGCCTCCCGGCTGCAGCCTGCAGCAGGAGGACGTGGCGGTGGCTGGGTGCGGCGCTTTCTTCCTCCCGCTGCTGCCGCCTTCTTTCTCGGCGCTTTCTCTCCTGCTGGGCTGGGGGGGCGGAGGGAGGGGCCGCCAGCGCTCACCTCCAGCCCGAGCGCTTCTCTGCGCTGTAGCCGGGCAGGGCGCGCTCAAGAGGAGCCTCCCTCAGGCACGGCCCCAGCAAGAAAGGCGGCAGCGGCAGTTCTCCTGCCTGGCTGCGGTGGGGGGGGGCTCTCAAGAGGAGCCTCCCCCAGGTGTGGCCCCAGCCGGAGCAAACTGGCCCTCCCTGGAGCGCAGGACTGGCGGCGGCGCGAAGGCTCTCCAGCCCCAGCCGCCTCCTGCTTCGGGCTTGCTTCCCATCCGGCCGCAGACCTCCTCCCAGCCAAGAGAAAGGCGGCAGCGGCGGCTCTCCTGCCCGGCTGCGGGGAGGAGGAGGGGCACCTTCTCTGGCCCAGCCGTCGCCGCTGCCGCCTTTCTCGCGGCTGGGAGGAGCTCTGCTGGCAAGCTGCAGGAGCGCTCTCAAGAGGAGCCTCCCCCAGGCACGGCCCCAGCCAGAGCAAACCGGCCCTACCTGGAGCACGGGACTGGCGGTGGCGCGAAGGCTCTCCGGCCCCAGCTGCCTCCTGCTGCGGGCTCGCTTCCTATTCGGCTGCAGAGTTCCTCCCAGCCGCGAGAAAGGCGACGGCTCGGCCGGAGAAGGGGCCCCCTCTCCCCCCCTCCGCAGCCGGGCAGGAGAGGATGAGAAAGGCGGCAGCGGCGGCTGGGAGGAGGGGGGGCGCAGACCCAGACCCCCACACACACACTGCCCGCCAGGGACGCCCAGAGCGTGTCTCCAGGCCCCGCCGGGAGGTTGGCATCTGCGCTCGCCTAGAGCGCAGGACAACCTCAGGCCCGCCCTGGCTCCAATCCATAAGAATTATTTAAACCATTCCAAAGTGACAAGATGGAGATAATGCTGTTCAGTAAGGCTGAGGTCTTAAAGGGTATTGAGCTTCCCATGTTTGCTGGGGTTCAGCTGACGTTTAAGAGTTTAGGAATTTTGCTAAATCCACAAGGCTAGGCTGTTTTAATGTGCTAAACATAAGGCTGCCCTTGAAGAGAACTCAGAAAATTAACTTGGTACAGAATGCCGTAGTTAATGCCAGGGTAGTCTGTTTTAATGTGCTTAACGCAAGACTGTCCCTGAGGATAATTCAGAAAATTAATTTGGTACAGAATGCCACAGCTCAATTACAGTTAGGAGCTGGGCAGAGTGAGCATATCGCTTCTATTTTGCAGTCACTACTTTTGTTAATGATTTGTTTCCCAGTTCAATTCATGCATTCTTCATGGCCTGGGAACCACATAGGTACAAGACCGTCTCTCTAATATGTTCTGTGATGACTTCACTTATCTGAGCAAGGCCTTTTCAAAGTTTTGTCCTGCAAATAGGTGGGATCAGTGGCTGCCTGTATCAAAACATTCTCTGTTGTGGCCCCCACCTGGTTAAGTGACCTGTCTGATGAGGTCAGGAGAGCTTCCATACCATTTGCAAAAACAGAACTTTTTAGGAAGGCATTTCTATGAAGAGAGTACTGTTGGTAGTTTTTAATATCTATTGAAAGTTTGTAAATAGGTTTGTTGTATTTGTTGACTTTTAATTTTTGTAATTTGTCTTGACTAATCTGTGAAAAAGGCAGACTATAAATGAAGCAAGATAATAATAAATCATGGACTCTAAAATTAAATAACTAAAAAAGACTTTCAAGTTACATTATTTTTACACTATGCATATTTAGGCCTACAGTTACACTTTGTTATAAAAGTATCATCTGCTTCCATTTCTGTTTGTTTAAGAATTGTTACTGCTAGAGGCAGAAGAGTGTTAGCAGTTTTCATAGGCCTGTTTCTGAAAATGGAACTACATATTCATCACATATTTGGAATGTAAATTATTCTTGTTGCCTCCTGTAACAAGTATTTTTTCCCCATTCTATACATAGGTAATGTGGGTATGTAACTTGTGCCGAAAACAACAAGAAATCCTCACAAAATCTGGAGCTTGGTTTTATAACAGTGGAACAAATACACCCCAAAAACCTGATCAAGAAGGTTTTAGAGTGCTGCGGAACGAAGAAGCACCTAAGGAGAAAATAGCAAAGCTACAAGAGCAATCTATATTGGCATTGGATCGAGGCAGATCTCAAGGGCTCACAAGGCAAGAATCCATCAACGGCTCAGGAGGGAAGCATCAGGTGCCAGGTGACACAGCAGACAGGTAAGTAGTTGGCTCATTTCTCTGATTAGAAAACAGTTGTCATGAAGCACGGGGAGAGAGGAGTCTTTGTCCAGACTAAGAGACCACACCAGATTCTTCAAGAGGAAAAGGTTTTTTTATTGACGCGTCTGGTCCAGCCAGCACCGAGGTGCTTTGAAAATGGCTGAACCCTTAAGCCATGCAGTTACAAAGATTATATACCATCAGTTCACAGGTTTCAATCATACGTCACACAAGCATAAGCGGTGGAAAATTTACTTTACACCAACACTTTTTCCTGTCACAGGAACCATCTTATCTTTTTGTGCCCCATCTCATCTCTTTTGCATTATAAGCTAGTTAGCGGATATACACCTGTGTCTTTGAAGCTTAACCACAACTGTTGCCGGGGGCTGATTTTGACCGCAATGGCTGACAGCAGTGCTACACTAAATAGGTCATGCTCAGGTAGGAGTAGGAAAGAAGGTGGGGGTTGAGGTCTTGTCTGGGAGAGGACTAGCTGTATTTTTAATATTTTATTTTAATATCGCTTTAGTCACCTCTCTTAAATTGGATAATCTTTGCATCTCTTTTAGCTTTGCAAATCTTTTTAGCTTTTTAATCTGCCTTTAGCACTTTTTAACTAGTAGGCCATGATCCAAAAGCATATTGCATCTTGACCTAAGGCAAGGTCCACAAGTCACTATTGTCTTTCTGATTTTTTAAAGAAAAGTGGCAGAGAGAGAACTAAAGGGTAAGAAAAGTGGTGGTTAGATGCAAAGGTGACACATACTCTCAAAAGTTACTTTATTATGTAGCCAAGGCAATCAAATAGCATCCAACATTATAATGCTTTGAAATTCTGTTCTTCATTTTGTCCTAGCACAAACTACCTCATTGGTGCTGTAGTCTGGTCAAATGTTAGAAAACTAACCAGGACAAATAGCTGGACAACAGTTTAAAAATTATGCTTGGCTCCTAATTCAGTAATTTTGTTATATTTTATTGTATAAGGGAAACCAGAATCTTGGTATTCTTTTGTTCATGGGATGTCAGAATGTTGTCCAATCCATGCAAGAGTGTGTACACAGTATCTACATTGTCAGTAATGTCATATTGCCAACTTTTATTAAATATTGCTTAAAGTCAGGGAACCTTTACTTTAGAGACAACACCATTTTCAATCAGAGCTTTCTCTTAGGCGCTGGGGGTTTTTTTTGCTATTTTTTTGAAGGAGGGAGGGTTGCAAGAGAGAAAGCAGGCCCTTCAAAATAAATTCCTGAGCTGAGAGGCAGCCTGTTCCTTTATCCTAGCTGTGTTTAGTGTTGGCAGAGTTCAAGAAATAATCCAATCCACACTTTGGAGTTTGCTTTCAACGAATTTACTGCAACAGGATTTTTTCAAAAAGACAGTAACTCACCGCAGGCCACTAATGCAACCGAGAGACCTTCAGAGCACAAGCACTAACACATACTAACCCACAGCAGGAAGAGAAACAACAAGAGGTAGGCTGAACTGCAAGAGAAAACATGCAATCTATAAATCAGTGCTCCGGGGGCAGCTGGGGGGCCGGGGGAGGTTTGTGCACATGTGGGCCAGTCCCCACGTGTGCACAAAAATACTAAAAGTAGAAAAAAATCGGGGGGATGTTTAAATCCCCCCGAAAGTGCAAGAGCTTTCCGTGAGCATGCGCACGGAACGCTCTGTAGCTGACCTCGCCGCTGCCGCGCCGCCGCCTCCTCGGAGCCGGGCGGCCGGGCGGGCGGCCGGGGGGAGGACCGG